TTTATCATTTCCACTGATTATTTAGCTGAGAATAAAGATGAGGCCCAGATTAGGATTTCAGTGTCCCCATGAGACTGTCAACAGCACACAAGCCAAGCACAGGCATGGGAGACTGCCAGTCTTAGTATAACTTAGTCAATTTGAGGACCTCTGTAGCTCTTTTCATGCCACAAGCATGGCATATAGAGTAAGGAAAGAGATAGAATCGTTAATCTTGGCTTAAAACTAAAAACAGTTGAGCCAGAGAGAAAAAAATATTTTTTTTTTCTTTTTTCTTTCTGGAGGTAGTGGACAAATAGAGCTTAGTTTCCTATGGGTTTATGTCTTGTCTTCCCCCCCTCCCCCCCCATACATCTTATAATAGCCCCAGTTTATAACTCTGTGACTTTTCTGACATCCAAGCTAATGCTTATTGGTTAGCAGGGTGCTAGCAAGTGTTGCACTGACATCTTTCTGGTGTCTTCTTGCTGCCTACCTAGTGCTTTTCAGAGAACTAAAGGGAAGATCAGAGCTAGGAACCATATAGATTATTCACATATGTACATATTTCCCCAAGCATACAGCCTTTTCAGTCACCATGGGAAGAGAAGATAGAGGGAAACTCACTATTAAAAATTTCAAATTTAGTTGCTACAGTGAATATTGTTCCATTCTGAGTTCTCTGTTATTTGCATATGAAAAAAATGCAGCATTTCATGTACTTGATGCTTAAATTATAAAGTTGCTTTAGAAGTTCAACATGTTGATGGTTTTCTTGGGAGTGGTTGTTGTTTGAGAATAAAGGGAACCATAGCTAAGATCTTCTTTCACCCCACCTTGACCTTCCTTCTCATGCTGAAAAGCCAAAACTTTTGACTCAGTAAGAAAGTGGTTTTTGAGTTACAGGTGTGGGTGAATGCATGAGGAGTGGGAGCAGAGCATGCTCTGCATTGAGTGAAATAGATGGGCTTCCCTGCTCCCTTCCTTGTCAGCAAGGAATCTTTGGTGTTTGCCTGTCTATATCTCTTACTTCTTCTCTTTCAGGAACTGGATTATCAGAAGAGACGCGTGCGGGAGTCGGGGGACAGGTTCGTTCCTGTCATGAGTGATTTCATCACTGTGGCCAGTTTCAGCTTCTCGGAGTTAGAAGACCTTCTCAATGAGGCTAGAGACAAGGTAAGAATACCTTTTGAAGTGTTTAGGGTTTCACTTACTCAGTCAAAAGCCTGAATCAAAATGGAAGCAGCAATTTCAGATGCTGAGACTGTAGTGAAAACTTTAATAGACACTGAAAGTGGTTTAGGCTGAAGTTTCTTACTTTTCCTGATCTGGTCCATAGCCATTTAGAATATATTTTAGGATTAAAATAAGGTTCGGTGCTCTTGCCCACCTCTTGCTAATCTTCCTTAACATGATCCATGTGTGGCATAGAATTGTGATGGTAATATCTGTGCCAGTATACCACACTGTGCTGTGGCTTTGAATGGATTGCTTTTTAAGCTATCCCTCAAAAAGAGGTCCTTTGGTAATTAGTGATAGTGACCCCATATCTTTTACTTTCTGCTTCTGACTTCATCGCACTCTGCTCATTCAGCTGGGGATATTTGTGCTCCATTTCTTTCCTTTAAAAAGGCACCTCTGGGTAGTTTGGTAACCCTAAATACCTGATCTTTTCCACTTATGCTTCTCTGTTACTGCTTGTATTTCATTGCAAGGATAGAAATCCCAAATATGCATGGTTTGTCCAATATTCTTGGATCCTTCTTACGCAGCCGTCACTGCGTGCGTGTTACTCTTCAGGTGCTGCTGTGATCATTTTGTGCTTTCACTGTCTGCATATCCATTACCAGATTTGTACAACTAAGGAGGTGCTTGTTCTTTGCTGATGACTGGAGTCTGGCACTCATCCCTCTGTCTCTCAGCTGAATGAGGAAGAATTTATACGAAAAGATCATAAACATATGAAAATGTTTATAGAAGAGCAAGTTCTAAAGTAAACGATATGTAATGGCAAATCTGCCCTTGTTGGCTGGCATGTTAAAAGTGCTTGGCTTTATGAAGCAAATGCGTTATTTCTTTTGGATTGAATTGTTTCCACCGCTGGTGTCAGTTAAGAGGCCTATTGCATTACTAATGAAACCCATGCCATTGAATTGGTAGGCCTTAGATTCTGAAGGGTAGGCAAAATACAGGCTGCCTCACTCATCCAGCCGCTCTGCAGTAATGTCATTCTGTAATTCAAAAGCATTTCCTTGCTGTGGAGATAATGTTGGTAATACTGACTTGCAGCTGCAAATACCAGAAGCTACTGGCTGTCAGCTAGAGCTAGCTGCCCTAGGAAATGCCAGTGGGGCAGTAGTTATTACAGCACTCTAAAGGCAAAGCTGGGCAGTCTAACACTTGTTAATGTTGTAAGGAAATTTTGTGGAGAATAACGTGCCTAATTTTTTCATTGTTGTCACGTTGCTTGAGAAGATTCAAACCGCTTCCAACATAATAATGTTCACACCATACTGGCTTTATAATCACAAAAACAATATTTTACATTCCATACCTCCGCTAAATTTCCTGACAAAAGCTAGATTTTCTTTGGTTTGGGGGCTTCTGTTTTATGACTGGGTAAATCTTTCAGCTTCATTATAGTTAGGTGCACATTTCTGGAAGCAAATTCACTCTGTCCTTGGCTTAGACTGCACACTTTTGGTTTAGTGTTATAGATAGTGGTGATCCTTTCTTTTGGCAGCTAGGACAAAAGCCCAATGCAGATTCTTTACAAGGTCAGTCAGGGGTTAAAAACCAGCAAGTGGTACATTTCCAGCACAGTAACGCAACTTTTCTTGATCAGGCACTTGCAGGAAAAATGCCATTCTTTTGCTTTAAGAATAACCAGAGAATCTCCCTACAGACAGACCAATATGTCTGGAAGTTGTTACACGCTTTTTTAGACATAGCCAACATAAAGCACTCGACATAAAGAGATGTTTTATTTTAATGACTATAACATGCTTAGGAAACGTTTTTCTACCTTCTCCTCACACACCCTTACTATGTTTGAACACATGCCATTCCAACTTCTGCTCAACCTATGGCTTTGGTTCTTCCACTGGCAAAAAGCTGCTTTTGGACTCCTAAAAGGGAACTGTCTGTCCTTAGCAATGCTGAGCTATTTCTCATGTTTGCCTCATATTCTTTTTCCCCTCTCTTCTTCCTCTCTTTCCTCTTTTTTTTTTCTTAAAAAAAGAAAAAAAAGGAAAAAGCTGGAAATTTTCAACAAACCATATGTGCTTTGCAAAGCCTATAACATCTTCCAGCCTCAATGGGCTCTCTGTGTTTATTGAATCACAAGCTTTTTTCTTACCATGGAAACCTACTATAACTAGCCAATTAAAGGAAGAGAGGGACCAAGACATCTGATTATCCTGTTCTTTTTTGATTTCTCAAAGCAAAGCAAATTGGAAAAAAGGTAGTGGGAGAGGGAGGACTTTTAAAAATATCCTAATGAGCCCATGAAGAATTGGTCTGGTTCACAGATTTATTAATAATAATGAAGCCCTAGTTTTAACAGCTGGAGTTGGATATCCTTCTAAATATAGATGTGGTTAATTGATTGCCATGAGTTAATCAGAGCCATGTTTCCTCAGCTGGGATTTAAAACAATACAAATTATCTTTTCAAACCTGGGAAGATTTTTGTTTTTTTAAATATCTCTAGTATTAGCAAAAAAGTAATTTCTTTATTCCTTTAAGTTATGGAAACAATCCATTACCGAGGTGTGGTGCTGACCTTCTCTGTAGAGGATATTTTTCACAATCCCATGCAGTACTTTTTTTGGCCTTTTTGCTTAAACAGGATCATTTACAGTTAGTGGCCATGGGGAAGAAGTGATATTTTACATTTAAAGGGCCAGATTGTCAGATGCAGGCATCCATATTTGCAGAGAAAGCCTTGTAACTGTACTTATCTTCATGTAGTAAACAGATGGCTTGGTTAAGAACTGATTGAAAACTTAGACCAGCTCTTTAAACAGGCTCCCTAGCACAGCTGGTTCTTGTTCTTTTTGTGTTTTTTTCACTTTCAATACCACTTTATAAGGGAATATAGATTAGATCAAGGGATAATGTTTTCTGCCATTTCCCATAAACTGGAAGGTGGGGGCAGGAGAAAGTGAAATTCTGCCCTGGAATCCTTCACCAGTTTTTACGTGTTGTAACTGATGAAAAATTTACTTTTTTACATCAGATTGAACAGAATGGGGTTGAATTTTGTTTGTTAAAATTTTTCCCTGTGCTTCCTGTGGAGAAGCAATGGAAATGCCCAGGCAGAGGAGCAGTGACCTCCCATGGTATGAATTTTATTTTCCTACTTGAAAAAGGTGACATTTGCCCTATATGAAGCTTTACAACATACTTAAATGTTGACAGATATGAACTTAGATCAGTAAACTGCTTCATAACTGTTCTACTTTGTGCCTGGATTTTAACAAACCTGTTTTTAAAATGTTTTGGATCTTCCTAGAAGAACAAAGTCTGCTTTTAGTCAGGTATTACCATTCCTATGATGAATATCGAACTTGAGCCTCTCGATAGAGGCACAATGGAGGCTGATGAAGCAGGTAGGAAAAGTGTCCATTCCATCTCTCTCACAACAGCTCCTCTCAAGCAGGGTGTTTATCATCATGGAGAAAGGAGTTCAGATTCTGCACGTGCATTTAATAAGCTTAGCACATATAGTAACTGTTTTGAAGAACAGCAAGGCAGTGAAAGCCAAAATCCATTTAAGAGAATAGTCATTAATGGCAGAATACTACGAAGCACATAGTGCCAGTTACAGGCTGTGCACTTCAGTCATTTGTTTTACAGGACTGGTATTTTCTGTCAGCCACTGGAGCTAATGAATAAGGAACAGATCAGGATGGAGAGTGAGGAATTAAAGACAAGGTGTGTTACAAAGGGCATGAGCAGGCACTACAGCCTGCTCTCAGGAAAAGCCATTTGGTAAATAAATTACATAGCTGTTGTACAGTAACATAGAACTACAGATACTTCAGGGCAGGTTGGCATCTAACATATCAGAAATGTTTATAACACCTATATCTCAATTTTGGGGCTGCCAGAGTCACTGTCAAACTCCTGGGAGAATCCTTTAAGAGTATTTAGACACAAGGAGAGCTGGGCCCAGCCCCGCCTGAAATCGGCCGGGTTCCTTCCATTAACTGATCTGAATCTGTCCCATAAAGAGAACAGACATTTATTTGAACTGCCTGGGTACAAGATTGGAGTCTTTGTAACAGCAAACTGAAGATTACTTCTCTAGGGAAGACAGTTCATGTTGCATGGCTACATGGTATAATTCATTTGTGCATTGCCTCCTCCTGCAATAGTAGACAGCACAGACAGCAGGAAATTTTTATCATGGCTGTTTTTCCTCCTCCTCATAGAGCCCTGTTCCTGCCGTTTCCAGAGCTCTTCTGCCACTGTTTAACATTTCATTGGCAAGCACAGCAGAGAGTGTGTGTGCTGCTGTCCCGCTTTCCCTCTCCTTGCTAAAATGGCTTTTTAAAATAAACAACTGTCTAAACGATTTGCTTTGGCAAGAGGATGAATTCAGTGGAAAGTTTGGCAGAGGAAGCAGAGCTGGCACTGAGCGCGTGGACCTGTTATATCATGGAGCTTGGGGGCCCTTATGGTGTGGAAATGAATTTTTTAATGAAAAAAAGAGATACCACCCTATATTACAGTGGAAAACCTGCTGAAACAGAGTTTTCCATCTTGCTTTTGCCCATGTCATCTGTCCCCAAATGACTTCAGGAATATGCAAGTTTTAGCCCTTGTTCCGCAATACCACAGCACATCGCAAAATTTTGGGAAGCATTTTGCGCACGTGAGGACTTCGATACAGAGTTCACAATTGTGCACAATAGCAGATTCTGTTTTTTGGGGAATCTACCCATGGAGCAATTGAGTGATTTGTACAGAGTGACACAAATCCTGTGGCGGAGAGCAGAAAAGAGGGCTGGGGTCCAGGGCACCTCGGTCGGTGCCGTGCTGCCTCTTAGGCCCTGCGCAAGGCAGGTAGTGTGGTTTGAGCCACTGTGGGCAGGTAGGAGCCTGAGCTTCGTACCAGGATTGGGGAGCCTGCTTCCAGCAGCTCGCTGCCCCTTGTCCCAGCACCAGTGCTTTGAAAAAGCACATGTGATTGCAGAACCAGAGCTACAGGGAAATAGAAGAAGTAATAAAAGCAGAGGGATCTGTTGCAGTTTAAACAGTGAAAAGACAGCATGGCTGTCTTTACAATAGTGCATTGAATTGATGCAGCGTCCTACAGATGTGAACAAGAGATTATTTGTCATTAGTGGGGCAACACTTTCTGTTTTGTAACAAATGGAGAAAGGAAGGCTCAGAGAGACAGCATGAGTTCCCAAGCCACATCACGGGCAGAGGTGGCAGCAGAGGCTGGATTCTCCTGACTTGCCCTTCTCTGCTCGGTCAGCTTTTTTCTGGAGGGGCTAGAGAAAGAAAGAAAATGTTTGCTTGAGGATACTTCAGATTTCTCTTTTGCAGTTATTTTGGTCCATCCAGCTCACAGATTTTTGCTTTTCATCTTTCACTGCTTTACAGTAAATGATTGTGACCTGCTAAGCCACGTTACAGGGTACCAAAGGTGGGCTGTTCTCAGGATTTGTCTTCCTTGCTGCCACTTAGAGACCACAACACCTTATACTCACGAGTGTCTCTGGAAGGCTCCCAGGCTGCTGGGTCTTTCCAGCCCAGCAACACTGTTCCTTCTCTGAGTGGCAGTGGGGAGGCAGTGGCAAAAGTCCCTCTGCCAATGTGACTACCGGGTGGGTGACAGGCCATGTGCAGAACACTTGCAGACAACACTACCCTCTAATGGTGACTTCCATGTATGTAGGATCAGAGAGCCCCAGGCAAGGACCCCCTCCTTTTCAAGCCCCAGCCTCCCTAAAAGACTAGGAAACCCCCTGTGTACCCTCTCACTCAACTTTGCTGTACACAGGAGGAATGGAGGCAATGGCCGTGGTGCATCACTAGCCAGGGGCAGTCGACGTCCTGTGGGCTGCCCCTGGACTTCAGGCTTCACAGGATGTGGACAAGCCTTCCTTCTAGCTGGCAGCTCTAGTCACTGCTCTTAATTTGTGCTTTATTTTCAGTTTTCACACGAGTTAAATACAATTTAAGTGGGAAGAGACTCCAGGTAGCACATCTCCTGTGAGCAATGAGCTTTAGGCACTCTATGTGTTCAAGCAGCAGTGGCAATGCCTGTGCTGAAGTCTTTCTCTGACACTCCCACTCCCCTGGCTGATTGGCATGCTGGAGCAGGCAAGCCAAGAAAATACAGCACGTGGGGATTCATTATTTCCCTCTGTGGTATTGACAGCCTGTATTCTCTCTGCTGAAGAGCTGGTGCTGGTCAGTGTGGATTACTGTGAGAATGCTGCACTTTCCTAATGTTCAAGCAGAGTATGCATATGTTATATACAGAGAAAATACATATATACAGAAGAGGGGTGGAGAGAGGGAGTAGGTGTGCATACATGTGTGTATGTGTCTTGAGAGGTTTCAGAGAAAAGGAGTTAAAACAGCGAAGTAATCTGTTGCTGTTTCTATACTCTGAAGTCCCTCCATGACTTTTTGCTGTAGTGCTTCCTTCAACTCCTGCCATGTTTGGTAGCTCCAAGCAACTTGCATTTCTTCCAACACTTTTTTTTTTTTTTTTTCCTTCAGATACTTGGGCTTTCTTTGTTTGTTTCTGGCTGAGAATACAGCCTTTTTAAAGAAAAAAGAAGCTATTGCTTCAAACAGCTTTGTGGGCCTGGCAGGGAAAGCAGAGAAGGGGAGATGCCGAATCTCTTAGGCTCTGCCAGAAGGAAGCTGCTTTCCTTGGAGATTTCTTCCCTCCACAGTTGACTGGGAGACTTTGTTTATGCTTTACCTGGTACAGGGCCAGAGGGGTTTATAAGACCTGCTTCCAAACTCATTTTGTCCTTGGGATCAGAGCCTGAACTGTTCTTTCTGTCTTTTTCCATTCTGTAAGAGCATTCACCTAAGGAAAGGGAAGCTGAACTGTGTTAGTATGAGCTGAAGACACGCATAAGAGAGTTTGAGGGCAGTCCCATAGCCTGGGAGAGTCTGAGTTTGGTTTGGTAAACATTGAGATCTGCAAGGATGCTCTTCTGCTCAGTGGTGTTGTGTTAAAGTGCAAGCAGGGAATGCTAGGGGAGCTGTGCATCAGGGCATTAGTGCCATCAGGAATGTGTTGCTGATGCTGCCTGTTGCAATACAGAGGTTTGTGAGGGAAGGTGGTTGGACAATGATACAGCCTTTGGATGTGTACACTTATATAGAATTTGAGTGCATTTTGGTGAGTACAGAGGCATGTTTGTGAGTGTCAGAGAGCAAAGAAGAGAGTATGTACAACTACTGCAAGACTGATGTCCAAGAGCCAGGGGTTGCTGTGAATTTACCATATCCCGATCAGGACTGCCCTGTGACTGAAGTCCTGCCAGTTGGCTGCCTCCACATGCGTCCTGCAGCTTCAACATTTGCCTTTTAAAATGAAAGCCACTTGTGATGTATTTGCTCTCTTTTAAGTCTGCCCGGGAGCCCTGGCTGCTTTCCTTGCCCCTCTCTCATGCCATGTCTGTCCATAGTCGCCTCTCTCCCAGGCAACACCCTGACTCAGAGGACTCCACAGTGATGGATGACATGGCAAAAGACTCCTGAGAGGACAGACTGTAATGTTATTGCAAAAACACCCTCTAACTCCAGCCATTTTAAAAGTGGATTTGAGGGGAAGGTGGAAGGGGAAATGATGGGCTAAAACTTGTGTCCCCAGCTAGCTCACTGTCTTCTATGTCCCTGCTGTCCCACAGCTGCAGCTGAGAAGTGGCCAGACAGTTATCCTCTGAAATTGTTCCTTCACCTTCAGGCACTGAACATGGGGCTTTTTGTATAAGTGGACAGCTAGTGCTCTCCAGCAGTTTCCCTGTGTTGCCTGAAGGATATCCAGGAGAGCAGATTCTTCAGGGACAGAGGCACCTGCCTTAAGGAAAGGCACTTCTGTTGCAGGGGGCTAGTTTCTGCGCTTGCCACATGAATGCTCAGAGGGTGTTGAATTACATGTGTGGTTACTCATAAGCTTTCCTCGCTGTCTTCACCAAACTGCCTGCCTAATTATTGCTCTTGTGTTTTCTGCCACCTTGACAGTATGCCAAAGCACTGAAGCATTTTGGAGAGAGCGAGGGCAAGATGCAGCCAGATGAATTTTTTGGCATCTTCGACACTTTCTTACAGTCATTTGCAGAGGCCAAGCAGGATCTGGAGAATATGAGGAAGAAAAAAGAAGAGGAGGAGCGCAGGGCACGCATGGAGGCAATGGTGAGGACCTGGGCACAGGAAGGTGTTTCCTTCCATCGCCTTTTCATGTCTCAAGAAAGAAAGGTTGAGAGTACCAGTTCCAATGCTCATGTCCTGTCGCTGTTTTATGTCCTTCTCCCTGCCACCTCTATTTGGCATCATTCTCTTCACAAATGATGACATTTTTCCTGCTGGCCGTCCTGCCAGCTCTCAAGGGCATCATGTTTGGCTCCTAAATTACCGTCTTTTGGATTCAGATACCAAATCTAGCCCTGCCTGTTCTGCCCTGGCACTTTGCAGGATGGTGCTACCCCTGCCCAATGCCAGACTATCCTGCTTTCAGGCTGCAGGCTCTGTGCAAAAGCTCTGGGAGCCAGATCTCCCTCGATCCTACCAGCTGGTCAGCTTCCATTCAGACTATCATCATTCGCTGCGTGCCTGTTGCCTGACAGCATACAGTGACACGGCGAGTGCCCTGGCACCTGCTGCAGCCCGTGCTGGCAGTATTTGTCTCTGGCCAGCCTTAATGCCTTGATTACTGGAGCCGTGTCTTGCCTTGACTTGGCGAGAGAGCTTTTGTGCGTTGTTGATTTTGCTGCTGGGAGACAGACATGTGTGTCCCCAGGGGTTCGTGTGAACCAGCCTCCCCCTCTAACCTCAGTCTTTCCTGAGGCCTGAGAATGGCTCAGCAGTCCCCTGCCTCCTCCCCCTTGCTGGCACTTTAACCCCAGCTGCTGCCATGGCCCCAGGCCTTGCTGTGAGGAGTTGCTGCTTTAAATGTTTGCTGCGCCAAAAGCACCCGTTTGCGTGTTTCAGAAGAGGAGAGAAGTAAAATGCCTTAATGTTGGACACAGGGATAAAATGCCAGGACTTAGGCTCAGGTTTCCTCTCAGCCAGCCTGGAAAGTGCCAAGAGCCCACTGTTAAAGCACTAGGATGGTTTTGTAGGCCTAATACACCATGAGAGAGGTTGCAGTTTGCTTATGGTAAGAGTCTTCCTGCAACGTGGGGCTAGTGCGCAGAGCAAGTGACCTGCTTCCTGACAGCCACATCCCTCCCTTGCCATTTCCACTAATCTTGGAGCTAAGCAGTGGGTGAGGATAACCAAGCTCCTTGGAACTACCCTAGAGAGACTGAGGGCATCACATTGACAGGTGGACCTACACAATGATTTGTAAAATCAGCAATTTTGTTTCTTTGTTTTTTGTGTTTATAACCAGTTTCTCTTTCCAGAGTTGAGGCAATGTGCCTTCCTCTTCCCATTATTGCAACACACTGCCTCCATCCAAACATGAGCTGTTTGGTGGATAGAGTTTCTGTTGATGTTTTGATATCTCACACAATTTTCATTCTCCAGTATGTTTAGCTTGTGGCTTTCTGGGATTTTTTCCTTTCTTCTTTTCCTGCTTCTGCAGGACTAGAGCCTTTCTGCCTGTCAATTTAGCTAGCTATGCTCCAAGTGCAAAGCTGTTTGTGACTATAGTAGTGACTGTGGTTTGTATAGACACATCCAAACTAACTTTAAACTCACTAGGTTCAGTACTGTCAGCATAGTAGGTGCTGCCACACTAAGGTCACTTCAAGCCTGGTTCCAGAAGCTGGGTAATCACCTATGCCAGCATCACTTACAGATTGTCATTTGGCACAGCTACTTTGCTGGCGCTATCCTACTGTAAAATTAGTGCAAAACAGCAGCAGTAGCTTAGACAGATCCCATGTGTCCTCTTTACTCCAGGATGGTAGTGCTTTGTAAGGCAAACATACGATGCTACTCATTCTTCATCTCTCCTGCTCTCTGCTTGCCTGTGCAGAAGAAGGGAAGCCCAGCATGGATGGCTTTGTAGATAAGCTCCTGATCTTTTTTTCCCCTAAACTGTGTACTTAAGTGATCTGACATTTCAGTTAGCTCATCCTAAAGCTCTGTGTCTTTCTCCACAGCTAAAAGAGCAGAGGGAAAAAGAGAGGCGACAAAAGAAAGCAAAAGCTGGAAGCATCTCTGAAGAAAGTGGAGAGTTTGATGACCTGGTGTCAGCATTAAGGTCGGGTGAAGTCTTTGACAAAGACTTATCCAAGCTCAAACGTAATCGCAAACGTTCGGGGAACCAAGGCTTAGAGACAAGCCGGGAGCGGGTGGTGACAAAGCTAAATTATTAATTACAAGAGGAAGAAAAATAATCAACCAAAAGAAGATGATGAAAAAGTGCAAAACAAGGAAGATGAATGTGTGTGATGGCGCCTGGCTGACAGCTGCCCCAAAGGATTTCTTTGGTCTGCGGCTAGAGACGTTACCTTTCCATGATCAGCTTTCCTCTCATCCCTCTTCTGTGCTCCTAATTTGGACCATTATAAAAGTGCCTCTGTGGAGCCAGCAGGGCCCGTGACTGGGCCATGCGGAGCTGACAGATTTGCTTCTGGGAGTTTATTGTGTCATCAAAAGCCTCATGGTGATGACAGAAAGTACTGGGGCCTTGCAGACTGCCTCACAGCTGGAGAAAGATAATTTTCTGTGTGCCAAAGTAAAAACTAGTCATGATCTCCATCTTGCTGATAATAAGCAAGACTAATTTCAGAGCAGCTCTGTAAACACCTGTCGCTTCTTCAAGATCTAGACTGGCCTTCAGGGGCTGGCCAAGATGTGGTTCTCGAGGTTTCCAGTTCCCTTCCAGAATTGGATTTTATAAGCCATTGATTAGCACCTGAAAAAAAGCTTTTTATCTCACGTTCTGTATAGTATTTTTCTGTGGCCTACACTCTCCAAAGCAAGTGATGCTCAGATGAAAGCATCAAGTTCTGGAAAAAATTGAAATTCAAGAATCAGGATCAACATAAAGTCTTTTGGATTCTGCTTTTCTAGAAGCAGTTTTCTGGAATTTGTTGATGGTTAAGCCTCGAAGCTATGAGATGCATCTTCTAGGAAAGAAGCTCTGGCTTTTTTTAGAAAGCTAAGCCATTGCCAGGTTGGGACTGCAAGTAGATGACTGTGGAGCCTGTTGTCATTGCTGGAGGGTGGAAGGGAAACAATGGAACATTTCTTACCTTACTTGTGCAAGATTTCTTAGTGCAGCCCAATGGAAATTGGGAGCTCCCTAGTATCCAGAAGTCACAAGTAGCAAAAAGCAAACACAGTCACTGGCTGCAAGAAATGAGATTTCTTTTCCACTTGATGCTAGCTGAAATTGTTGTTGGCATGAACTGGTCATTCTGTCTAACAGGCTGACCTTCACTGCACACACCCTACTCCTACCTAGGGGAATCACGTAACTCAGTAAGATATGAATGGTGTTGAAGAAGAGCCTTGGAGCCCACAGCCTTTTTCATTTTGAAGGGATCATTTGGGATGAATCAATGGAGGATCCCATAATGAAAATCGAGCATTTTTCCAGGAGGACACAGAACTGTGTAGGCCGAGCAGGCTTTGGAGATGGGTTAATTCATAAGAAAAAAAAATAAAAATTGCATTTAAGCTACATGTATAAAGCACACAATGAAAAAGCAAAGAACCCCAAGAAGATGTATGAATTCTGAATTCTGTGTGTCTTCGTGGCTCTAGGAAAGGGGTTGGATTGTGTGGGCTGTCATGGGCTTTTTTTTTTTTTTAATCTTGTCTTCCTTTTTTATTATCTTCCCTGGAGAAGGAAAAGAGGAAAAGAAAAAAAGGGTGATGGATTCTTCTTCCTAGACAAGAAGAAAAGAGAGGACATTTGAGAAGAAGGACCCTTCATCTACAAACTATGCATCAAGAGTCAACAGCACAAAATGTCAAGGAATCCCAGGGAAGTGAAAAACGCTCTATTTGTCACTTTAATAATTTGGTTTGATTCTTCTCTGAATGTCACTTAACCTCAGGTTCTGCACCGAGTCTGCAGAACAGAACTTCCTCTGCCATGCACGCTGCCTGATCAGTATTACACACTATTGATATTGGAGAAGCAAACTGTGGTGGTTTTCTGAACACTTTGAGAGTAAAATAATTATGTAAACTATGGAAAGAAGCAAAAAAAGTCAGAAATGTTAAACTTTAATGTTTCGTTGTTTACTGAATTTTGAGTCTCCCACCCCAGTATTTCCCTATTGACAACATTCCAGACTGCCGCGCCTCTGTATAATACTCATCGTAAAGAGCTGGTATCTTACAAGAGCTGGGTGCATTCTCCTCCCTTACTATCCCACTCCCCTTCTGGGATTAGCTATTAACAGCAATGCCCATTGCAGTGGACACAAGCACCTTGTAGAACAAAGACTGTATTTCATAAAGGTTTTTGAAAGTTTAAGAAAAACTCTCACTTTTTTAAGCATTTTTATTTTAAATTACAAAATGGATTTTTAGAAATGTCTCTTGTAAATTATATTAACAAGCTCCTTGCTGCTCCCTGAAGTAGACATGCTATATCCCAGCCCTTTTTGTTTGTCTTGTTTTAAAGCATGCCATATAACCCATGCCATGTAAGCTGTATGAGAGGTGGTAATATGTGCCAAATTGGTATACAGTTGACTTGAGATTTGGATGATTCCTGAATTCCAAAAATTATGCTTTTAGGGATTAGAACATCCTAGGTTTTTCCCCCACCCCTTTGTTCTCCCTGGGTTTAGGACTCACCCAGAAATTCAGGTGAAGTGCCAAGGTCAGCCCTGGTGCAAGATGATGTGACTTGTGGCTCTGTCCAATTTACAGCTGCTTGCTTGCTCCCCAGGTACTTGTTTGATATGGCAGACTGTCAGCATGGCAGTGCTGTCAGAGAAGAAACACCTCAGGGCAAAACCCTTGAATCTAAATACAGCATTCCCCCCGCCCCAGTATTTGTCAAAACAGGTTTGTGCTGCGCTTTTTGAAACTGAAGTCACTTTGCCAGGCCACAGATGTAGCAAAAGCAGAGAGAGTGATAAGCCCTCTGTCCCTTTGTATACAGAGTTCAACCCCAATTTAAAGAGATCCTATAGGATGGTACGCAATGCTCTGGCCACCCTGACAGAGTCAGAGAAAGCTGCTGTAGTTTTGCCACCTCCTTGACTCATACACAATGAGGGATTGTGCAACTCCTATAAATCAACTGTGGGATAATTACTGGAGCTGACAGAAAGCTTGGAGTCATGCCTCTGATTCACTGCAAGTTTTTCAGCATTCCAGTGCCCCAAACTCTTGTTTTCAATCTGTGATGGTGGCTGAAGGCTTCATTCAGCATGTTGGACAGCCCCCCCCTGGCTCTTGACTCCATGATCAATGTTCATAAAGAGGGTTTTGGAAAAGCTCAGTTACACGCTGAGGCAAGCAGTGATTTCAAATAAGTGATGACAAGTGGAGAAGACCATTAATAGGTCTACTGTATGAGATGAGGCTGGCCACACAGAAGATAAGGAAAAAAGTTGGTTCTTCTCTAGGGCCTGGCGTCAGATTCTTGCTGAAGCCAAGTTTGTCCTTGTTTGTCATTTCTGGAGTACTGTGAGTGCATCTCTGCTCTGTTCTTCATCAGCAGTTGTGGCAGAGTTGCTGAGCACTGAAGGAAAAAGGAAGATCTTACTCTTTGTCCTCTAGCGCTAGCAGAGCCTGAGCAGGTATAGCAAGCAGTCTGAGATATAATATGGAGGCGTAAACTCTTTATTGCACTGAGAGCTGGAGAAGAGCTAGGGTCTGATGTTGTCCTTGCAGCTGTGCCTAGCACCAGCATTTTAAGTGACATCACTCTGTCTTTAGAAATAAATGGAGGAGGAGGATATGCAAGAAAGATATAATTGAGGTTTTCCTCTGCTTGCTGCAGAAATGTAGTCATTGCTAACTTTATGGTGAAGTTCTTCACACCTAGAAGAGGAGATACTTTCTAACTCTCTAGATCCTTTCCCTAGAGGTCTAGTGCCTACCCACTCACTTCTGTGTCTCTGAGTTGTTCTTAAGCAGGTTGTGTTAGGATGAGCCCAGAAAAGACTGAAGAACTCCCTCCCTCTCCCAGTCCCTTTGGTCTGGGTCACTCTTCCCAGCTGGTCATAAGTCTCTGGAAATGCCACAAGGTAAAGTGACTTCAGGGCAGCAAGGCCCTTCTATGCCCTGCAGCACAGCTATTGTCCAGGCACCAGTTCCCTATGAAAGCAGAAGTAGGACTAGTGTTCAGGGGGAGAGAATCCCCACTAGGGAGACGACCTGGGCGTCCTTCTGAAGCATTTCTGTAACGTGTTCATGATGTCTGAGGAAGGGAAAAGAATTGTGAGGGGCCCTGGTGGGAGACTGTGGGGTATGTGTTTCCATAATGGTCAGCCTCACTGGCTGAATCTTTCCTCTTCTTTAGGAAAGCTCACACTCTGAGCTGGGTTGCATGGGAGATGATTGTGTCAGGAGTTTCTGTGAGGGGAAAGGAGATCAGTTGTACAGTTGATGATGTACATGATATATGCAGTTTTGTTTCTGGGTTGGTTGTTTTGGGTTTTTTTGTTTGTTTGTTTGGGGGTTAAATGATTATTTTTTTTTTAAAAAAAAAAAGGTTTTAGGAATCTCTAAGGGGAACCTGTAAATCTGACACCTCTATTTATTTTGCCTTATTTTAGTTTGCTAAGTTTGTATGTATACACTGCATTACAGCAAAGACTATTGAGACCGTGCCAGGGCATTACACCGGCTAGATGGCTGGTTTGGCTATTGTGCAGCAAGCAAAGCTAGACAAGGGGATGCGTGTGAGCAGTCTTGGTGTGGGAAGGGAGGGAAGAAAAAACTTCCTTTTTCTTTTGTCATAATCACTCTGGTCCTGGGAAAGCATGTGTTTTAAAGCATGTGGTAAACTGATGCAGGTTGGTTATTTTAGAACACTATCTATAAAACCTGTTTATTTCTCATAGTGAATCAGGGCGGGAAGATTTGAGAAGAGTCAAGCTGCACAGTTGCTCACTCAAACTTAACTTCACCCTTCCACACAAATTCTGGCCATAATGCCAGAGAAGCTTGGATAGATGGGCAAAAGTGGTTCATGCCTTGTAACCTCTCAGCAGAGTTAACATGGTGGTGGGACAAACTGGAACAGTTCTTCTTCCTCAGAGCTAATGTTCCTTTCTATCTTCAAAGCCAAGGAAGAAGAATTTCCTCTAATTCTCCTCTTTCCACCTCCATCCCACCTCCCCTGATTATACAGGGTAAACAAACTCTACTGATTGGTTTTCTAACCATGGAGCCTGTA